TTTTTCGAATTTTGTAACATGTCAACCCAGCATTCAATTTTCTTTTGGTATATCCAATTTTCTGTTAATCAAATCCAATTTTAAAGGAAAGAATTTTCTTTTGGTATATTCAGATTTTCTGTTAATCAAATCTCTCCGAATATTTTTGGGTCAACCGATCAAATTCCAAACTAATTCTCCCGAGTAATTAGGGCTCCACACATCAAGAGACGGGCACGCAGGAGCTCCGTTAGGTCTTCCTTATGCTCGATGAACGACGATGATAAGATTAGTCAGGAGGAGCTCGACGAGTCGCTGGAGAATCTGGGATCCACGTGCCAGCGGATGAGTTGCGGCAATTATTGGGAAGATCGACACCGACAGGGGACCAGGTGGACGTCGGGGAGTTCGGCGCCCTATACGTGGCGGTGATGGCCGATAGCGGAGCACGAATTCAGGGTGACCACGTGGAGCACCATGGCTACGCCCATAAGCCATTATCACTTCCGGTGATTTATTATCGGTTTTAAGATAATCGATATTATTTGATTTTTTTTTGGGCCAACATTTTCTTTTCCGCCCTTTTATAGTTATATTCTGCATGTTTGAAGAATTTTTCGATCTTTTATTTCCATAATCTAGATTAGTTCCAGGCAATTTTTTTGGTCTGCATCGAGCATCCTCGGCTGCATCGAACAGGTAATCTATTCAATTATATTAATTACTACCGCATTAAACGTTGTCCGAAACAATTACTTTTACTATCAATTTAGTTGATTGATCATCTATCTAATTGGTTGTCTATGCAGTCCCTTGAGACGGTCCGTTACGGCCGACCGACAAGCATAAAGGGTTTGACGGCCCGAGCTAACGGACATGGACCGGGTCAGGCTTCTACCTGAGCTTTTATGGTTTTTTCCAATTTGATTTGTAATGTAGTCAATGCCAAGGTTTGGACACACGACAGCCGTAAAGCATCCTTAATTTACGTAAGGATGACCATTTGGGCTCGCCAATAGAGGACGATCAAAAGATAACACAATTGGGGCAATTTTGAAGAACGTGCTGAAAAGGGACAACAACATTCGGAGTGCGAGAACCTCGATTTTGTTGGCCGTGATGCATACCGAGAGGAGGCTCCACCAGTTTATGTTTTCTGACCAAGACTGTGAGAGGAGGGTTGTGGTTAGGCCTAGTTTGGGCTCGAGTGTATCGGTTAGGAATTATTTGGAGAAGGATGATTCGGTCGTGAATATTCAATGTCGAGGATTGGAATAAGCTTATGTTTGATGTTGTGTGCACGTTGACCGATATGCGGTATGTTGTTTTCCACTCCACGGTCGACACATCCGAGGTGCGGCGTCTGGTAATTTTATAGTTTTCTTATTCATTATAATTTGAGTTCTATTTATTTATTCATTTATTTGTGTCAATTAATGCTTTGGTTGTTATTTGAAATGAGGAGTTTCATCAGACATGTGGATGAGACACCAATTAGCTCCAAGGCCAAGAAGGAGTGTGTGATTTTTTGTTTACAGGCATCGATCGAGAGAAGGGCATCTAAGGTGCTGTGAAAAGGAAAAAAGAAATCCATTATTCTAACAAGACCTTTTTTTGGTTTAGTTAAATTAACATTTCCCGTCTATTTTTTTTTCTTAAATCATATAGGGAGTGAGGATCGAGCTGTGTGCGGACGATAGAAAATGTCTGTTGGCGGACATGATGCGGACTTTTCATGAAAACGGGCTGAGATATCGACAGCCTGGGATACCCAGAACGTATTCTATGTGACGGATGCAGTTGGAATCCCGACCGATCTGGAGATCATAGACTCAGTAAGAGAAAAGATTGGTTTAGAGAATCTGAAAATTACAAAATTTCCATCCCCGTGCTGATGGAAGGTCGAGAGGGAAGGCCCACGCGTGCTGATCTCGCTCGGGAGCATGGTTGGGATGAGTTTGAATTACTTTGGGCTGATTAAGTCTTACGCTGAAAGAATCTCAAGACACTTTTAACACAAATGTGTGTTGGGAGGGCATCGCAATTGGCATATTCTTCTTCCATCGATGATAGGCATTTTGTACATATATAGTGAAGAGAATTTACAGAACACTTACAAAGTGGTGGTGAAGTTAGTTTGGATTGTAAATATGAACAAACAACAGAGAGGTGGGATTGATGTGGGGGGCCATCTCCTCTATTCTACCTTTTTTTTTTAAAAAAAAAAGGAAATTGATTTGTGGAGGGAGGGAAAAATTTGGAAAGGACAGAATCGAACAGATAGATTGTTGGGTCGGGTTTGTTGGCAGAAATAGATGAAAATTAAAGTTAATAATCAATATTGTGTAAGTAGAGTTTTTATTTGATCCTAATTGTTGTTGCTCTATATTATTTGGATGATTAATTTTGCTACTTTCTCTCTCTCTCTCTCTCTCTCTCTCTATATATATATATATATATATATATGATGTGGTTCAAATGAGAACCAAGTCTTAGTGTGAGAACCGTGAGAACCGCTATTTTTAATTGGGCGTGGTGCTATGATTGATTGTGTTTGGTGCTATTTTTAACTAGGATGAATGTTATTAAAAATAGCAACATAATTTATATTAGCATTTGTGAAAATGATAGCATCATTTAATATTAAAAATAGCATCATACATAATTAAAAATAGCATCAAATACGGTTCTCATGGTTTTTCACACCAAGACTAGTTTTTATTTGAACCAGCCCCTATATATATATATACAGAGAAGTGATCATATGAGAAAGGGAGATAGTGAAAGAAATAAGTATGACTGTGGACCACTAGATCCAACATATCAATGGCCTTGATGAAGTCAAAATTAATAATTAAAGTTAAAATCTCGATGGCATGTTTATAATTATGTGATCATATATTGGTAAAAAATATATCCACTAGGGTAATAATGTAATTTACCTCACACCATAATTATATCACATACTAACCCCTCACCTACCCACCCTCTTTCTCTCTCATAGCACACACGTTTTCAATTAATCATCCAACTCTCTTTCTCTCTCTCACACATACACAACAGTCACAGTCACACACACACACAAATATCACACACACACACACACAGCGGTCCGCCGCCAGAAAGCTACCGCCGTAATACCGGCGACGTGGTTCGTCGCCGTCGCCGCCGTCTGTAAGGAGCTCCGGACACAGCCCGCCGATCGCCCACACACACGCAGCAGTCCGCCGCCCGCCACCACATCCGGCCACAGCGCCGCACGAACCCTGCCGCTGGACCACCGGCCACTTATTTCGTTGCAACGCTGGAGACGTCCGCAGCTTGCCACCGCCCCCAGCTTCACGCCGGCCTCCACTAGCAACCACCAAATTGATGTCGGAAAACTAGATGACTCCATCGCCGCCATGACCTGCGCGCTGTGCTCGACGTCGCCGGAAAACTGAAGAGATCGGATAAAGCTCTGAAAAACGGTGGAGGCGGCATCTTTGAGGGCCGCGGCGATGATGGTGCAGCTGTGGACGAACGACCGTCTGTCTGGTGGGGGTGGTTGGTCACCGGCAGGGGAGGGTGGGGCGGTAGGGGAGGTGGCTGGGGAGATTTGGACTTACATTTGTGAATTGCAAATGGAGCTGGAAGAGTCATTGTTGACAATTCTCCTGACATAGTGCTAATAATGGACTACATCAAAATGGCTCAATTAAATTCTAGTGCTTCTTCTATAAGCGAAGTTTCTAGAAAAAAAAATATATCAAACGGCGCAATGCACCTTGGGTCGCTACGGAAACAGCCTCCTTGTATAATTACAAGGGTAAGGTCTGCGTACAACTGACCCCCAGACCCCAACTTGTTGGGAATATACTGGGTATGTTGTTGTTATTGTTGTATTTGTGAATTTTATATGGTTGAAGGACTTAATAGCAAATATATAAACTTTTTGTATATTACAATTGAGTTAAATGGTCAAATCTACAATTAATTGAAATCTAATTAGTACTTTAACATGTAATATTTATACTATTTTTGATTCTGAAAATAAAAAATATTTTTACTAAAATATAACATAATAATAATAATAATATTTTTATATAGTTCGATTATTTCGGTTTAAAATAATAATAATAATAAAATAAATACGCCATCGGATTAAAAATAATCGAATTATTTTTATATAATCGAATTATTTTTTATATCATTTGGTTCGGTTATTTCGGTTAAAAAAATAAAAATAATAAAATAAATACGGTATCCGATTAAAATAATTGATTGTGTGAATTAACCTAAATAACCAAAATTATTTATTATTTTTATTATATATATATATTTAATATTAAATATAGATTTAATATCTTGAAAAATGTATTTAATAATTTCATATTATTATATTATTACACTAAATAATCCTAATGTGCAATTCAATAGTCATTAATGTGCAATACATACAACCCTAATGTGCTCCCACGATACATAACCATTTAAAAATAATAATAATATTTTTTATATTATACGGTCAATTTGGTTATTTATGTTCTTTTTTAAAAATTGAAGCCGACACCGAACTCGAAATAATCGTGATTTGAAAAGTATAAACAAATAATCGAACCGAAATGTGCAATCCGATAGTCATAAAAGTGAAATTCGTATAACAATAATGTGCATCAGATTGCAAGCATTTTTAATAGTATGATCCACACCGAACTAATTAATTGGTCGATTTATTCGATCTATTATCCGAATTAATCTAAACAATATATATGGATTATTATTGATATTATAAAATTATATTTATTTTTCAACGTTTATATTTAATGAATAATTTTTAGTACTGACATTAATTGTGGAGTGTGGTGATAAAGTGTAACGTTTTATTTTATAAAGTACAGCGTATTGTTTATAAAGTGCATTACTTTATATGATCGCATAAATTACGTGCTTTTGGAAACTAGATCTAGTAGATATAATTGTAAATCAAATCAACCAAAATAATTGAAGTAATTTATTATTTATTACGATACTAATATATTTATTATATTAATAATTTATATTATAAAAATTTATTTTTATTTATTACTATAAAAAGTATAATTTATTATTGATTATTATAATATTTTTTATAGAAGAATAAATTATTACCTAATATTGTAAAAGTATAATTTATTTATTATTATATTTTTAATATTATAAAAATAATATTTCGCTAAATATTTTTGATAATTTATAATATTTTTTATAATTTTATAATATATTAAAAAAAACTCAAAATATTAAAATATTTAATAATAAATTATTCTTTTATAAGAAATATTATAATAAAGTGCAATGGTTTGTTTAATAAAGTGCAACGATGTGTTTTATAAAGTGCATAATTCTGAATATAAAGTATACTAACTGTACGATCACGTATAAATTATGTATTTTTATTTTTTTTGAAACTATATTTATTAGATAAAATTGTTCATTGAATTAATATAAATAATTGAAATAATTTCATATTTATTATTATTATTATTATTAAATATTTTATATTATTTTTCTTTACAAAACTACCATCCATATATACAGCAAAAAAAATATATAAAGATAATATTTTTTATATCATTTGTTTAAATTACAGATTTAACCCATGGGTTAAATTGAAATATAATATAAAATCTTCTAGTTACAATCAAGTCCCTATAAACTATCAAATTTTCAAATTTTTGCCAAAAACCAACATCAATGTTCCGGCGAGTTCC